CTGTAAAATAAATCATCTTCATCATTTTCTTTTATTTAAAAGTCGACGAAGCACACTGGTCTCTATGTCGTAGTTCTGGTTATTAGGGGGCAGTATTTTTTTTAAATTCTACCGAGACGTTCCTAAATAAAATTATACTCTCTATGACTGGGCATCACCGGGATCTTTCTACTTGCAGATTATAATCGTGTTTTTTTTGTAAGCCTATTAGATGCTGTAGTAGGATACACATTAAGCTAGACAATAATACAAATATTTCCGGTTCTCAATAACATGTTATGTTTGTATAACGTTCAATTACTGCGTCGGGAATTTACACCTGGTATGAGTACAATATATTATTTAATTACAACACATTAAAACTTTGAGCGCCCCACACGTCGTACAAATCTGCTTTTCGGCGCATTTAAACTGGCTTGTAATTAATGAGTACTTCACTCGGTATAGTGACAAAACTGTGAAGTATGAAAGACTCGTCGGCACTTGGCAGTTCCAAGCTGTTTACACTTCAAACAATTCGCGTTACATTTAAGCAACTCACGTACATGAAAAAAAGAAAAAATTCAGTTCTTCCGGAGACAGTACGACAGTAACTCGATTTCAGAACTCTTTCATTACGAACAATTGTGTGTTACAAGCTGATCAGGGGTTCCTCTACTGGCGTCACTATACCGAGTCGCCTGGGACGGTTGCTTGAGGGCCAAACGGCGGTGAATTCACGATTTTGTGTGCTGCGACCAGAAAATTACATTAAACCGCACACGAGACGAGGGTAGTTCTAGCGTCTATACACGTGTATCAACAGGGTCACCGCAGGCATTGAATGTACTGCTCCTTCCACCCCCGCTGCCAAAAAAAAAAAAAAAAAAAAAATAGGGCGTAACGTCTAACGTCGGTGTATGAATTGCCACAAGCATCTCTCGACGCACAAAACACAAGAGTTTGTAACATCTTTTTGAAAAAATTCAAAACGTCAGTTGTGTCGCAATGGAAAAACTAAGCTTCGACCGAAAATTATCTACTATAATTATTCTCAAATAAATAATAATAATATTAATAGACCCATTTGTTTTTGTTCGCTGTTAAGTCAAGTCAATACAGCTAATTAGCTAGGTCGGATTGAAAACTGTCCGTTTTAGACCAAAAATCCTGTCAAAGTGTTGACTACTCTTAGGATGGTCCGATTTTAATTCTTATGTACGAGTTAATAAAAATTGCGTTTTCATATTGAAAATATTTAATTACAAAAAAACTGAATTTTTTAAACGAATAGGCATCGATTTCCAATATAACCCAGTAAAAGAAGCAAAACCAAATGTTATTTTTTTTTTTACAAAATTTAAATATTTGGCACAGGTGGCTTTTACTCATAGAAATGTGTACAAGTTAAAAATAATACCTTGAAACTTATACAAATTAACCTGAAAATAAATGTTTATGGTCGAATTCCTTATATATTGCCTGTATAAAACCGGCCCCCATTAATTCCAGACCCAGCAACATTTTTTGCTAAAAAAAAATTTTTTTTTTTTCATTTTATGTTTTATTGTAATCTATATAAAACGTACGAAATATTTTAAAACAAATTTTACAATTATCTTGTAAAATTCTTGCTAGTACACTATAGTGTACCCTAGGTCTAAATGGATGTTACTATGGATTAATAAATTTATTTATTTTAAGTCGGTACACTATAGTGACCCGGGGGTCTGATAAGGTTAAATAAACTTAAAAATGTGCATACTTCAGAAGTTAACTTTATCGCTTTAACGAATAAACACAACATCTTTTAGTGGTTCACACAAAATTTTAATTTTGACTATTGATCCATTGCGGATATTAGTCAATCGTTAATCCTGATGATAACAAAGAAGATTTTCAGGATAGTCTAGACTGTCTTCGTGCATAATGAGGTGTATATATATAGCTATTGGCAAGTCTATTACTTGTGGTGGTTATGTAATCCCAGATTCTCGGAGCGGTAATAGCCCGTCTGAAACCGCTGCAAATACACAATCAATCGTCTGCCACGCGTGAACCGTCTTGATGAAGAGACAACCATCAAGCAATGTCTTGCGTCTGGATTCTGGAATATATTTCTGTCCCATAAACCGAGTCAAGGGGTGTCTGATACCGAGATTTGGATTTAATGTGATTCTAAGCAAAACAGGCGGCATGAATATTATTTTTCTTAAATATATTTCGTGATTTTACATTTTCACATAATATAACAGCAACTTAAAAATCCTAATGAATATCAGTAAAATATATTTTGATAACATAGTTAAGTAAATTGTTAACATAATATAAACGCCACTGGGGCACATAAACATAAAAAACTTTACATATAAATATAATATACCTATATATAAATATATTTCTAACAAAATTAAATGACAATTAAAAAACAACGAAATAGACACAGTCAGGAATTAGAAAAACAAGGTAATGGCTTTCCGTTGTGTATGTAATGAGAGACGAGGAACAATATTGTATGAGAATTTTTTACTAACAATTTTCACAGTGGTTCCGTTAAATATTTTAAATACAAATATTTCATACTTTTGAATTATCTATACGCAAATATTAATTATGACTAACTACTAGACGAACGACTAACAAAGTAACAGTATAACTTATTATTAATAAGATAATTATTAATATGTATTAAAAAATAAAGATATAATGTATCTCTTAGAAAAATTTAAAACAATAATATGCGAACAGAAAAATACTACGATCTACAGTATAAAAAATGAGTATTATATGTATAAATTATATTTAATAAACATTACAAAGTAGATAAGTATTAAATTATTCAATGAAATTAATTATGATTTTTAAAAAAATAAAAAAATAAAGAAGACAGATCCGCCCCATAATCATTAATTAATGTATAGGTTCAAGAAAATACAAGACTTTTGCTAGGCCATTGATTATAAACCAGCAATTTTCCGACCAAGCGTATTTATAATCAATGGCTACTACCACTTCAAAGCAATTTTCAAAAATAAATTAAACAAAAATTATTATTGAAAATATACAGAATATGAACTGTTGTATGTTTTTAGGATTTGTATCAATTGCAATAAGTGTATTTACAACACTGTTGGGGTTCAACAGTTTTGTTTCAGTTCATCATCGGACACATCCCGTTCGATGTTGACAGAAATCTTGAGGCCTTTCCTTAGCATTTCCCGCACTCTTTTCACCTCGGGCTTGTTCAATTCTTCTTCGCTCAACATAGTGAACATGTCCTCTTTTCTGCACTTCTTTATTCGGACCACTCGACGTACAACGTTTGGATCCACACCGTGTTTTATCGTTGGCGTCACTATTGGCCCTTCAATGGAATTCATAAATATCGGTTCCAACTTGATGTTCTTCAGCTGGTCAACGATGTCGTAAAGAGGAAAGGCCGTTTTGGCTGTAAACAAAATTACACATTTTATAAATACGAACAAATTAATAGTATTTATTATTCATAAAAATATGGGTTTACAGAAAACTCGATAAAAAAATGTTTTAATTTAAAATACAATATTAATAATCTTATAATTAAATAGAAATATTGTAAAAAAAAAACGTTAAAAAACAATACTGAAAAAGTCAATAAAATTTTTACAATGGGGGGGGGGGGTTACCCTAAATAACAATCGAGTATACAATTGAAGTAAACAATTTTCTTTTGTTTTTTTTTTAAAACCTCATTTATGGGGCCAGTTTAGAGGTCTACTATCCAAGTGAAACGCGGCAGAATAATATAATTTGGGGGAGGAAGGGGGGGGGGTTAAGATGAAATCTCGATTTATTATGCACAGCGTACAAATCATGCTGTTCATTTAGGGAGCACCTACCAAGGATAAACATTAAACTAGAATAATTAATTTGCTCACGCGTGTAACGAATTTACACAATCGAAACCAAACTCACCGTTTGATTCAAATTTAAAAGTGGTGGGGGGGGGGGGGTTTAATGACGTTTTAAAACAACAACCCTGGGCAAAATGTTGACTACTTAGGATGGTCCGATTACAGTTCTGTGTAAAGATGTACGAGTTCTTTGGCTACTTTACTAGGTTTTGTTGGAAACGGATTTTTTTCATTGGTTTTTACTATTTATATGGTAATAAAAATTGCGTTTTCATATTGAGCATTTTTCAAATTTAATTTATTTAATTACAAAAAACTGAATTTTTTTTAATGATTATCGGTTTCCAAAATAATCCAGTTAAATAGGTCAACAAATTCTTATGTTTTTACAAAATGGTCGAAATTCATTAAAAGCACTTATTTAAAAAAAATATTGCCTATATAAAACTCCTTAACAACTGCCCCGTTTAATTTAATTTAGAAATTGTATATTTATATTGATATTTTGATGTCAACAATTTATCGATATATTTTAAAATATACTACCTTATACAATTATATAATTTGATGGCTTTATTACATCAACCTAATTTTTAATTACCGCAATTTAATTTGTAAAAACTATTTGCTATATTATTTTAATGTATACAGAATAATACATCATTTTACTGATACACAGAATGGTTTTTAAGATTTCTAAGTCATTCATTATTATTTAATTTTTTTTTTTATAAAAGTTTAAATCACTAGAGAGGGATATCGGAGGCTCTTTATTACAGGACGATTTCTCGACCGGTTAACGAACCATTTGGCTGTATTGTGCGCTAACACCAGCGTTGTTGACTTACCCAATTATTATTTTTTTAATGGTCGGAGTAGATAAAAAATATTAGATAAATTATGTATGAATATGGAATTAATCAGAATAACTATAGGCTGAAATCTTAATACATAATAATATTTTATTATCATTATTATTAATTATATTACATAGTTTTGTTATAAATCGTTGAGACGAGTTCAATAATGGGTGCAAGAATTTGAATCAAACAAATGTGTAAACATTTTTTACTTTGTATATGAATACAATTTAATACAAGTCGATTTGCAATAAACTAATAATGTGTGGTAATAATGTATGTTAATAAGTTATAAAATAAAATTACATAAATATGAATAAAAATAAACGAACACAATGTTTTAGAATACATTTTAATTATATTTCTGTTATTTTTATACATAAATATTAAATGTAACCCAATGTAATTTACAGATGCTTAGTGGTTGCACTATAAATCTTTTTGCATACAAATTAATTATACAAAGATGTTACTACTTAGATTGTCTTTTTTGGACACATAATAGACAATAAAAACTTAAATAAAATAAAGATTATAAAATTAATAAAATAAATATAAGATTTAGATAATGTTGAATATAAAAACAAATTGTACTAAACTTATATTTTGTCTTAATGGTTATGCACAATAATATTAGGAAATTTTATTTCGTGAGACATACAATTTTTGTAAAAAAAAAAAAAATTATTGATTTGTTCTTATCGTCATATTATAATATAATATTAAAAACATTAAATTTAATTTCAACTAATTTATTTGACGAATAATTGTTATTATGTACCTAGTACATTATGATATATTAGTTATTTTAGTAGTGCAAGTAGAAGATAATATTGTAAACAGGTTAGAAACTTCTTAGCATTCCCTCTTGGGAATGACACTTATTACAATGTTGTACTTACAACTGGCAGACATAAAAAAAAGGGGAAATTATTCCCTAATAGAGATGTTGTAAAATGGATACAAATTTTATAAACACAATGAAAAATGATTCAACCTTTGAGCACTCGTTTGGGCGACATTAACAACACTGCCTTTATCGAAGAAAAAAAAAACGTGCTACGCTTTAATGTGTGAAATTAGTCTGGGGGATCGACGGGTATTCTCTAGTTATAAAAAAACATGATGGAAAATACAAAAATTTCTTTTATGGACATTTTTTCACTCAAGATTGAGAGCGGTGTAAATCCTGCCATACGAGCGCACTCGAAGGTTAAACCAAGAATTTCATAATTTGATCATTCAGATTACCAAGAAGATTAAGAGGGATTATCAATAGAGAAGTGTCTAAAATTGTATCGTCCTATACAGTCTCACATATACAATAGCACAATTTGGTATAGACAATTTAAAAACAATAAATATATGACTTAGAAATTATCTAGAGCACAAACTTAAAACAGAGTATTAGAGAACCATAATCGTTGACAGATAAAAAGAAGTTATGCAATTTGAAATATATTTTGTAACATCGACTTGAAAAAAAGTGCGATTCGCTTAGCCCAAAACCCATATACATCAGCAAAACCTAAGATAAATATAGAAACTTAAACTACTGTAACTGGAAATTTGACGATTCTGGCCGTGAATGATCTTCAGATCCCCCTCCTGTTTCTGTACTGGTTTTATTTGATGAAACTTCATCGTCCGTGTCAATCAAATATTTGTCCGATTCAAATAGCGGACGTGGCTCCTTCAAATACCCAGTCGGGGTGGTACTTTGGCCAGTAGGCTTCTTGTGTTTGGCAGAAAACGAACTAGCTAAGTATTATAACAAAACATACTTTAATATGACTTTGAAAAAAAAATTTAACAAAACACGCACACATTAACTACTATCAGTCTTACAGCAGTTGGACTTGTATTAAATTGTTAATTCATTACACTGAGGAGTGAAGTTATTAAATTAGGTATAATAATAGCTATTAAAATGTATTCTTTAGATAATATAACCATTTTGCTTCTCCGGTGGAACAACAACATAAGTGCAACTGTCCATTACATCATAGTTCTGCTGAACATGTATTTCAAAACCGGTATGTGGAACAATGACGCCACTACTCTCAAGCTGAAAATAATAGTACATAATAATACACTAATATCGTTGTTCGACCGAATAAAATGACCTTTTTTCGTACTTATTTTTTACTTTATATTTTAATTTTTCTAATTGAGTCAAAAATTTAAATTTTGCACTTGCGTCGTTGTTTCACCGGAAAAGCAATTTTATGTACGAATTAACATTGTAAGAAAACTCAATAGTGGAAATGATATAAATTTATATTTTAAGCATTTGTACATAATTCTATGGTAACTAAAAATTATAGTAATTTCTATATGCTAGACGTGCACCACTAACACACGAGTCGTATAAATAAAATTTCTAGGATAGTCTAAAAAAAACTACTTTTTATCATTAATAGTGTGCTACTACGACCTTACAGAGACCAATTGTTACACAATAGGGGATGTATTTACTTGACCCTATTGACTACTGTTGTCACTCCTATAAAGATCACATTATAGTATAAATGTACATTATTCATTTAGAAAAAAAGAAGTAAAAGACTTACATTAGGTTTTCTGGTGAATATGTTACCTTAAATTGTACTTGGTGAAAAATGAAATTCATAAGCTTAATATTAATGGAAAGCCTTAATCGTTAGCAATGTTGTTTAAATATATTTTTAAAGAACAATGTCAACGTCAATAGACAATCTGATAATGCAATTCAATGAAGATATAATATTTATCAAACCATTGGGATATCAATTAGCTAATATTGAATTATGATTATCAATTATTATAGTCTATTGACAATCATTCAGAGAGACCAATAATACCGATATAAGATTATATAATTTTAAACTACTTATAAATTGTAAGGCCCGTTTCACACCAGCAGGTAAAGTAATCTCATTTTCATATATTGCATAAGAAAGTACATTACTCAAATATTTCTTAATTGAAGGGGATAAAGGTCGAAAATGCATTTTATTGCACGAATAAAAGTGTTATAGTATATTATAGAGTATCCCTAGACCAATAGTTTTTCTCTTATTTACTTGGCTAAGTTATTTCACATATTGATTGTCAAAAAAGTTCCATAGCTTTTTAATATTTAGTTACAATAGTAGCGTTAATAAAGAATTTCAAAAATGTCAGTTAATACCTTAATCCAATGACCCCTTCAATTATTTAGGGTTTAGTAGAATTTTAATGGGAACACCCTCTTAATTGGTTCAAAATGGATTTAAATATAGGTCACTACAAATTTGAGATTTTAATTTTGTTTTAATGTGCATCACAAGCCATTAAAAATTAGACTTATTCATAAAATAATGATGTTAACAAAAAATGTATTATTTCATGTAATCGCTGCAAAATCTTCAAACATTTAAATTACTTTTTTTTGGAAAATGCAAAAATCTTTTTTAGAGTATTTCTCAGGAACATCTCTATTAATAATATTTTTATTTTTTATTTAAAAAACATACAAGACAATTTCTGAAACACTAATTCTTAACAATCCATCAGCATGAATCGTCGGCCCCAAATTCATAAGCGGCTCATAATAAAAGCGTGCGGTCTATATTTACGTGTTAGGTGTGACACGGGTTTAAGAATATTAGGCAACAATTACCTTCTTCGATGCCACTGTGTGGGTCCGATTCCATTAGTTTTTCCTGAGCCCATTCGGGTGTTGGTAATTCAGACATGGTGTAATATGGTTGAGGTACATCATTGCCATTTTCAATGTCCATATCCATTTCTTGTTTCTCACCAGATTTTTCAAACGATACTTCCTCGCTATTTACCTAGTCATAAAATATAAATAAATAATTATTTTAATTTTTAAATTTAACATCACAGGACTAATTGTTATTTAAACAATTTCAGTGTTAACTTTTCACACTTACTATGGCCAGATCTATACCATTAGAGTCCAATTGTTTTGACTGATCGTGTTCTTTATCTTCATTACAATTATTGCTGTCATCTATTTTGTCATCTAACGACGATACATCCAAATTTTTTATTGTTCGTCCTGTTGTATTTTGCAGTAACAAATTAGATTTTTCGATCTGATCATCGATAGCCTGTTTTAAATCATCAAAATCTTTTAATTTGGGAACTGGTGAAACTGGTGGACTTGCTTGACTATTAACTATGTTCTTTTCAGGTGTTTTTTCCTTTGGACCTTGTGAACCATAAATTGTTTCATACACAAAGAGTCTAGAAGAACTATTGTTACTATTTAAATTTTTATTAGGTTCTAAGTCTTTAATTTTTTCGAAAGGATCATCTTCTTCTATATCTTTATTATTTAGGGAATGATTGTCTTCGTCAGTTAAAAAACTCTTATCAATATTCTTATTGTTGTGATTTTTAGTATCATTGTTATCATCACTTTCATTAGTATCGTCATCTTCCCAATCTTTTAGTATTTCATTTTGTAATTTAATCTTTTTGTTGTCGGTTTTATTTATCTTTACATTTTTGCGTTTTTGTTGTGCCGAAACAGAAGTTTTGGCATTTGATTTTGCCTTGCTGGTATTGGGCTTGCTTGTAGTGGGCTTAATACTATCAATTTTTAAATTCTTTGGTGCAATAGTTGTTTCGTTTTCAGTCTTATGTGTAGCCATGTGACGCTTTAAATTTTCATAACGTATGCTACTGAATGTACACCCTTTTACAAGATGGCATTTGAAGTTACCAGTTGATGCTGGAGACATCTGAGTTAGTTGAGATCTTGGAGTTGACGATAATGTTTTTACAAATGATTTATTATTAGCAACCGATGGCAACGATTTTCTTATTTCTTTTTGCTTAACTTCTTTTTTAGTTAGAAATAGACTTTTGATATTTTGTTGTTGAATGTACTGTTGCTCAAGTTTCTTAAAAATATTTGAATTGCCACCAACCGATGTTTCAGCACATAAAACGTCATCCATAAAGTAAGTCATATCGATCGTAGTTGTCTTCTTCAAACCTTTTTTATTGGCCATATAAAGTGCTAAAAATAATTTAAATACATATTATAACTATATGAAACATGTCAAATGGTTTTCGGTTATTATACTTACAAAATCCTTTTTCCAAGAATTCAGATTTTCTGTCACATGAATAAATATATATATTTTTCATGTCGTACACATTGAAACTAGAAAATAAACATATTATTCAGCTAGTTTATAACATGTTTTTATCAATAAATTTTAATATTTATTTCCATAATAGAGGGGCATAGTCAAAACTTATAAAAATTAAATTAAAATGTTAAGTAAAATGAATTATCTATCTTGTATTTTTTTTAGCTTTGATGTTTAAATACTTGAACTACACAAATATTATATTTTAAATAAATAAACTGAATACTTATGGATTATGAAACTAACACATTATTGTTGCCTAACAAAAACCAAAATATCAGCCCATCGCCTTACAACACTGAAATATTGTTTTATCATTGAAAACTTGAAGCTTAATAGTTATCGTAAGGAGAATAGACTGATTTTTTTAACTCATAACTAATACAGTTATAAGAAGCCATATTGGATTTACATTAATAAGCAGTGTGTGACACCGCATCGTATCAGTTATGGGTTAAGACATAAGTGCATAAGCTCCAAAAGAAAGTTAAAATGATTTATAATTACAATTAATTTTAGTTTAATTAGTTTTTATAACTACATATTATTAATTGAGCTCTACATTTTATAACCTTGATTATTGAAAAAAAAATTAATCGCCACATTTTTAATTTGGCCTTTACACTATTTGTCTAGGAAGGGTCGATATAATATAATTCTAGATTCACAATACGCCCTCGAGAGGCCACAAAAATAAATTGCTTGTTGTTCATGGTTAATACAAAAATTATGGTTTGGATTATTTTGTTCGAAAATACTTAAATTACTTAATGAAATAAAAATACAATTTAAATACTGTTTTGGTACTATGTACCTTATATAAACTTACTAGGACTTTTCTTTTTCAAACTGCACTGTGCACACTTCTTTTTTTACCAATTTCTTGCTTTTTTTTGCTTTATCATCTACCACCTCTTTTGGAACACTCGCTGGATCAACCACTCTTGCTGGCCACCAATAACGAAAACCAAGGTTAACCCATACCCAATCGCCAGGAACGTAAGGATTTGTTTGATCGCACATTTTGAGTTTGTTTTCAGCGTTATAACCTATAAAATATACAGAAATTAAGGTTTTGTAAACTTCAATTCATTATATCATAGTTTCATTGTAAACAATAGAAAGCATAGTAAATATTTTTCATCTCAATTGCCTTTTGAGAAAATCCAATTTATGAAAAATGTATAAATAATAAATTTTTAGTCATTTCTAGTCAAATGAAAAAATTAACTAAACAGCTATCATTGACGGCATAATAACTAGAGCTACCGATTACACGTGTAGTTATAAATACACGTATACCTGCAACTACACGTATTCTTACAACTGTAAGTTTTAATAAGACCTCTAATTTAACGTGACACTATTCTTTAATTAAAGGTTGTCACTAAGATAAATTATTATAGGGTCAAGTTAGTGGAATCTCGGGTCCTATACGTGTATTGATTACACAAACTTCTACACGTGTAGAATCGTCGGCTCTAATAAGAACTGCTTATTTGTGGATATTCTAAAATCAACATTACAATATGTGCCTGATGGTAAATTGAGTTTTTTAATTTGTGAAAACTTATAATAGAATACAATTATAGTTTTAAGAGGTGGACTAGAATGTACAAATGCCCTTGTTAACACATGCAGTTTTAAATTTTGGGGCTACCCAGTAATTATAATACATTTTTGTGCCTTGGGGGGTCAGTGACTACGTATAATAGGTTTAAAACCATCTTAAATCATGTTCCCTACATATTAATTGGATTAACATATTTTTTGAGAGACGATTGTGATAAGTTGAAAAAATGGAGGCAAACGCGTGTTGCCTATAATCACTCTGTCAATAACACTGTGCATGCATAATTATTATGATTTTTTTGTAACGCCTACTTACGAATTACATAGATAAATGAGAAAAAGCGTCACAAGAGGACCGTCCAGAATGCATGCTCCGGTTTTTTTCAATAACGACACAGAATCTGCTGATAAACACTCCGGCAAAAGACTTAGCCGCTAAATAATGCAAACGCCGTTTTCTGACGATTCGCGCGGATCATAAACGATTGATTTCTGCAGCCGCGGACCAAGCGTTGACCGACTTAATTGTGAACAATAGTTTTACTGTTGTCGACGAATGAAATAACAATAATAATCAACACGGTTTATCGTATTAACTTTGAAAATACAACGAAATCCACTGTTGAAAAACGACATACATAATATTACATATTGTCTCGCGCGTCCTGTTTGGAGGGCCGAGGCGGTAACAGGAAGGGGATCGGAAACAGCGAAGACCGCCGTTAACTACAGTATGGACAACATAACCCCAAAAAACACCTACCTACCTACCAAACAACCGCGTGCAATCAAAATTTCGTTGTTATCGTTTGAACAGCCAGATGGCGCTGCAACAACCGTATTTACTAAATAAACTAACGATATTAAGAGGACGTCGCACCGTCCATTGTTAAGGAGTAAAGTATAGGCAATTTTTTACAAAATCTTAATTTAAAACTTAAACCGTGATGTGTTATTATTAGATCAATAACTAGGACTCTATTTTGGTAGTTAATTTATTTTTCGGACTATCACAGCAACCTTGAAAGCGATTTAAAAATGTTTTTTCATCTCTACATGTATAAGCAGACTGAAAATAACTCGCTTAATTTTGGTTTTATAGTAAAAGCGCCCATTATAAAATTGAAAGAGAACAATATTCCGGAGGGCAAGACGGTGCGTTTTTTTCATTATTCCTAGTACAACGCTCAATACATAGTTTAGAAATAACAACTATTTTAACATTTTTAAACGACTGTAACTTTTCAAAAAATTATTTTTTTTCAAAAAAACGCACCGTCTTGCCCTCGGGAATATTGTTTTCTTTAAATTTTATAATGGGTGCTTTTACTCTAAAACCAAAATTAAACGAGTTATTTTCAGTCTGCTTAAACATGTTTTTACCACTGAAAATCACCGGTGCGACGCCCTCCTAACACGATAAACATACAAAATTACCCAATGTGTCCATATATTGATTTTTATCAATTACATAATATAATATGTTTATGATTCCTTAGACCTCGAACTTGTTACATGTGTACTATGTATTTCGTTCACACTGTTCTAGTTAGATTTTTACAATAATGCTGTTTTTTGTTTCTGATAGTATCTACACTCTGCACGTGCTGTAAATTTGGAATAGATTTATTTTATCACATATGGCTATTTTAGAGCTGAAAATTAAATTTAAAATAATTATATTGCCGAGCAGAGCTGAATTTTCTTCCCGCACCATACCGTAAAAAAAACATTGAGCTGACTAGGTCGGGCTGAAATACTCCAATACTCTCAACCTTTATGAATTAATTTTACAATTTCATTTTAAATTAAGCCGGAATAATAAGGTTAGGCAAATTATTATAAAATGGCAAACATGTTAAAAATTAAAAGACGGTCACTTTTGTACAACATGTCCTTAATCTAAACGCATACTAATCTGTTAAATACATGCTATATAGTTCATAAATTATAACATTATCATTACTGATTTTATAAAAGTATATTTATTATTACCTAAAATTTATTTGCCAATACCATGGTAGCATATAGCATTTAGGCAATAACTTCAACCAATGACCTTACTACTAACAAATACACTTCTTAATCAAATGTAATAAAAAAACATAAATATATTCATTTTTTTATATTTTTTGAAAAAAATACATTATAGTTTTGTATTTAAGTAATGTTACATTTTTTTCCGATTTGATTTTTAAAAACTTAAAGTTTTTGTAAATATTATTCTAATAAACGTTATAATAAAGAAAATAATAAGAAATACAGGTATTTGTATTTCAACAATTAGCAATGTAAACACAATAGTAAACATTTTTTTTTTTTTTTGGTTTTAAGATTTACCGGTGGTTTAACGTATTGATACTACTTTTGGCAAAGAAATATGCACAACAGATGTTCGTAGTCAAAGAGCGAAACGACCACAAATGGTAATTATAAAATTTTAAATGATGGAAAATATTTGAAGAAACAATATTAACCGGAAAATTATATATTTTTAGGTAGAGAGTTCAGAGATAGTCTCACATTGGTATTAAAATAACGTTTACCTACATAATAGTTACCTATACGTGGTATAAGTAGACAACATAAAAAAAAAACAAACAAATTCAACAAAAATGTATACAACACATGAAAACGGTTTATTTACAACATAATATTGTATCTGCAATAATAAAAACAATGATGTACAATTTTGCTTTTCAACATTCGTTCTGTTGAGCATAATTGTCCAAAAAATAGGTAACCATATTTCCCTTGCCCTTCACTTCGATAACGCCCCGACAAGTTAACGGGTATCCATTTAGCTTCAGTATTTCATACACCTCGTCGGTAACCTGAAAACGTAAAATTATATCTTGTGATTCGAATGTGCATTGATAAAAAGACATATGGCATTTGTTTGCCATCGTGGCTGGAATAAACCTACCTGTATTTTGTCAAGTACTCCAGTCGAGTCCATTCGGCTAGCCACGTTTACGGCATTGCCCCAAATATCGTATTGAGGTTTCCGAGCTCCAATAACACCGGCCACTACAGAGCCAATATTAATACCTGAAACAAATATGACGAGTACTATGAAGGTAGCACCACTAATGCCATGTTAAACTATCACATTTTATACCATCATAGTGTATATCACAATATGATATGTAAAAAATACTGTGCCTAAGAAAAATATTCATTTTAGTTATCCCCACTCCTTCCCACTCGATAGTAGCCTATTCAAATAAGAAATTCCTAAAATTTCAGATGCTTAGCTTAACTCCCAAGTCATTCAATCGAAATTAAAAAAAAAGTTCTTAAAGCTGAATTATGACTCTTGAAAATCATTCTTTGTTATTACGATAAACTTTGGTTACAAGTTAAACAAGCATTGATTGGCTACATTTTAAAACTGGCCTTACATATTAAAGTCCTCGCCAAAAACACAGTGGTGCCGATTGAGCATTTAGTTCGGTTTATCATGTATTTAGTCGAAAATATGACTAAAAAACAAAATTGTAATTATATGTTTAAGTTATACACAAGGTATTATATTAATGCAAAATTCCAAATGAACTTTATAAATATGATCAATATTATCAATTTGCAAGAATATTAAACCTGGGAACTGGTTCGAAAACTAGATTCTCCTGATAAAACTGCCTGATCACTCATCCTTGGATTGATTTTTTTTTTTACAAAATTGTGTACTTCAATATGTCACAAAATTTAGGTAATTTACATATTGCGAAAATTGCGTCTGCGCAATGAGCAATATAATTTATATTGTACAAAGCATAATTTACAAGCCCGTTCACATATAAACGCTAGTCTAACGCTTTGATATCGTGCGCCGAGTTTGTCTTGTCGAGCGCAAAGTTTTGCGTATGCTTTTCGTAACAATAGCAAAACTACTAGTTTTCTGCGTAACGCGCGTTGGATACGCAATTTGAGTTTCCAAAACAAACTCGGCGACACGACTAAATGTATTACGCGCAAGTCGCCTTCGTGTGTGTTTTATCCCGTCTATACCCGTCTATCGGCGTTCTTTTATTTTTCATTCTTTCGCAGTCGGTTCGGGCGTTGCCAAGCCGATCAATCATTTGAAGAAAAAAAAAACCTTCCGGTTACCACGATATTATTAGTAGGGGTATCTTAAGGTTTTGCTCACCTATTCTGATGCGAAAATTGTTGAACGAATGCTCGTTGACGTAGGCCAATTGTTCGCGCAATCGTAGCGCGTAATCGGCCATGGCGAACACGTGTGAAAATTGTCTGCTGTCGCTGGTGTTTCTGGTTAAGCCCGACGCGGCCATGTACGTGGCGCCGGTTGATTTGATCTTTTCGATACACTGGAACCGCGGTTCGCCGAGCAGCTCGTCAAAGTCTGCAATTATTTCGTTCAACAGCCGCAAGCACTCCACGCCCTCGTTGTTCGCTTCCAGCTCCACGTAGAATTCCGAGAAGTTCGGTATCGAAGCGAACATGATGCAAACGCTGTCGCACTGTTCGTGGTACAATTCCTGCGAAAAACCACGTGGCATTGTGTATAACTACTTAGAACCGCCGCTGGTAACCGAGGCGGGACGAAACCCGCGTAACTCAGTGGCGTATTTACAATCTTCTTCCAGGGAGTAAAAATTTAAAAAAAACGTTACCCTTAACCCCCCCCCCCTTCCCAAAAAAGTTTTGCCCTCGTGGCCGGACCAAAAAAAAAGTGTACCACGCTTTTTGCTTTACACACACGCAACGTTAGAAACCGTTTCAACGAGACAAAGTGCATCTTAACGACATTTTCAAAAAGTTTGCTTTTTATCAAAACATGTATTTGTCACTTTTAAAAATATCATTAATATAACACAATAGATTGCATTACGTTTATTGATTTATTACGTCACGGTTTGTTCAAAACTTCTACGTTATCAGTAATATTTCCATATGATTTACACACTATATTATATTATACTGTTTGTATATTCACTATATAACACATACATAAATTCAAGAAATAAGTTTTTAATAGGTCATTTTTTTATAATAAAAAATCACCCTGAACACCCCCCTGTAAATACGCTACTGACCCGTATACAAAACTGAACCAAAATAAATTCGAAATTAATACTTTAAAAAAAACATCATTTTTACAAAAACTAAGTTATATATTTCCAATATATTATATCGAATTTATATTAGGTAATAGGTTATACACCTAAATTATATAGAATTCAATATAAGTATATATAGAGCAATTTAGAAGTTTCGCCAATGGTAGGTTGAAAGAAAAAGAACAAATTGAAATAGTTAAAACTTGTGGAAAATTAAAAGAAAAATAGTCAGGTTAGTGTAGAGGGATTTTGAGGTAGAAGTAAACCGAAGAAAAATAATAATTAACGAATAAAAGGATATAGTAGAAAGAAAGAGAGACATTGACTGGCTAATCTCATATTTATGGATTATGGAACAATGTGATGAAGACGAAGGAAAAAAAATAAGTTGTATTTTGTTTAGTCATTAGCAATAAGTATTATTAAAATAAATATAGACGTTTAAAGATGTATTTTCTTATTTATTTTGTAGCTTTGGAAAACTTTTAATTGATAGTTAAATTGTTGAATTTTTCAACATATTCTCTTCGAAAACGATGTGAAAAATGATGATGAAAACAAATACTCAGTCATTAAAAAGTGCCAAGAGGGCGATAAGATTCTTAAAGTCATAGTTGTTTTGTTCTGACCTAAAAACAATGTAAAAATAAATTATAGTAAAAAAAAAAATGTCCTTTCTTCTTTAAAAAAAAATAAATCCCAATCCATTAATTAGCCTAATCTCATAAGTATCTGTATTATTTCAATGAGTACAGCTAATTTTCTCATCCACTAGCTAAGTTACGAACAACAGCTCTATTATCTTAACATATAGTTTTTTACAAGAATTTTTACTGATTGTACTCCATAGAAATTAGTAATGTGGTTTCCGCAGTAATCTAAACGGGGAATTCATAAGTAACCCAGTATTATAATTTATTTAAATAAAACCGGTAAATTTAATTTAACCGGTAAAAACCATTTTTTTTTTATCACAAAAAGTAGTTTTAGGGACGAAGAAGTTGATAACCGACATATTATACTCGTCCCTGATGGTAACTTGTGGTTATTGAGGTTATAACAAGGGGTTCTTTTTTTAATCATTGGATGTCTTTTTAGTCAGGGTAGTATTTTACTTCTGTCTATTATTTCCTTAGGGTTTTTCACCGTATGAGTATTTTCCTGATTTGTCGCTAAATAATTCCATGAATAAATAACGATTTGCCGACCTGTGATGACCTGTGTGACGTCGAGCTTCGGTGCTTCGATTCCCTCCGGTCCTGTCATAGGAGCCGACCGTGACCACCAGTGTGAAATTCAAGGGGTTGTGAGATGTTAGAGAAAAATATATATGGGAATATTCATACGTCTGTGTGTGCTAATATATTTGTACAGACTGATCTGCAAGTGCTATTGTACATTAAAACAATGAAAAAAAGATGCACATAGAACATTGAAAATTACTTTACTTCAATTATTGGGTGCACAATTTAAGAAGTGCTCTATTCTACATAAAGCGTGCTAGGTTGGGTTTTAATTTTAATTTTTTTTTAATGTTTTAATATATACAATTATTTACTAGTATTTTTATCTCAGAACTCGATTAAATATTCATGTTGATTTTGAAATTCATAGAACCACTCTGATTACTTTTTTGCGCAGTAAAAAGTTACCGGCAAAATTGGATTGTAGCTTTCTTCTGTAATTTATTTCTGCGAATTTTCAAAGATAGTTAAGAATAATTTCTCAAAATATAAAACTCGGCGCAAAAAAACCGATTCTCTTTCTCCGTTAGACAAACCATATTATACTTATTAAAATGTATTTCCATTTGACTTTTTGCAAACGAATATCGCTACTCTAAACCTTTTTAACGGGATTTCATTTGACATGGCCCTCGTATATGTTGTTTCATTTTTTTATATCCCCATTTATAGCTTGTGTAAACTAAAAGGGAAAACAGTACTGTCATTATATAATGCATTTGGTTAACGTGGACCTTTCTATCTTTAGATGTTAAAATATAATACTAATGACAAAATAACTTAGAAAAAAAAGATTTACTAAAACTTACGTCAACGGGTTTGTCTAGTGTTAAAAAATGTTCAGCTACGTGAACTGGTAGAATGTTAGCTAGAAGCTTACGGTTGTACGCTTCTAGATGTTCCATGTCTTCTTTTTCCTCTATAACCCATAATAACAAAGTTGTATTCCATTTAATGTACGAAAATTACTACACCGTACGTACCTGTGGCTTGAAGTTTCCAAAGGAAGTCAAGTCTAGAAGTAACTTCAGTCTGTTGTGCTTGTAGAATCAATGCAACAATCAGGCCCATCATAATGACAAACATAAGAATTCGGATCCAAAACGATTCTTCAATCGGTCTGATAGGAATATAAAATTATATTGTGGATTTCACTAACTAAAGTGCAAATATTTCCTTTATAATTAAGTTAAAATCTAAACTTTAATTTAAAAACTCGCCAGAATGCTTTCTACATATTCATTAAGATATCTCTGCTCCTCATCTGTCCGTTTTCTCACAGACATTAAAGGGTATTAATTCCGCCAGGATTTGTAACTTATGAATAGCGTTTTATAAATTATAATAAAATGAGTTACTTTTTATTTCATTCAAAATTATTTAATTGAAACGCCATCAAATAATGTTAATTTAAAACACAAATATTTTTTAATAATTTATACTGATATAACTAATATTTATAAAATAGGAAATCAACAGATTTATTTTGAATAAAACATTTTTTAATTACAATTTTTGTTCTTGTATTTATTTATTTTGTATTTACTGTTAGTAGTGTTTATTATTTATTAATTTATCTTACCTGTGGTTCAAAAATATGCTAGACGATATGAAGTAACACGAAGATATAAACATTAACAAGAAAAGTTTGACTAGACTGATTAGCACTTGATACACGGCAACTAATATCATGAGTATGATAGCACATACTGTCATGTACTAAAAAAGAAACAATAGATTATTATATTTTAATTATAACGCGCAAAATAATTATCGCGTTACATTAAATAAAAGCTGACAAGTGTTTTCCAATGTCACTGTGTCTTTTTGGTCGTCCAAAGGACGATAGTCAGTAGAATTTTGATTGAGTTCGTTGAAACACACTTCTAATTTATACTTGATCTAAACATAGAAAGAAAAAAAACACAGCTGGTATATTGTACAGTTGAACGGAATGAGAGCTTTTCTATTTACACCGTAGGCCACAAAAAATTGGCAGATTTAAATACATTTTTTTGTCATGTGTGTATGATTTTTAAATCTGTCAAATCGTCACCGAGATAAAAATAGGCGATATTATTAGATAGTAGTTTAGCACTTACCAACGGTGTCATGGATGTCAAAAAACAACAAACGATAATGACCACGGCCATCGTTTGGGCTATCGACCGATCCTGGTTGATGGTCTGAGACGCCTTTTTAAGTAAATTCATCGTATCCTGGAAAACGTGTAAAAAAAAAAAAAAAATCGTTTGTCGTTAAACAACCGTAAGTGGACGATGGCTTGCGTGAGCCGTTGTCTCTCTAGTAGTACCATTTGAATTAAAAATATACATATAAGCCGCGCTATACACAAGACACGCTAGTACGTACCGCCAGCTTGTTGCGAAAAATCACACTGGCCGACAGGGCGATCACCGTCCATCCTAGCGCCAAGCATCCTATCAGCAAGTACGACCTGGAAACAGTAGACGTACCGGCTAATCTCAAATGCTAACCACAAGTGTCACAATGTTTATTACACGCTTGTAGCGGATTTTTGTGTACTCACAACGGCAGAATCGCGATGTGACCGACGGTAATAGCGGAATATATGCAAACGGTGCACGCCATGTACGAATAGAGCATTCTGTCGGGCTCTTTGCTGTACTGTTGGACACAAAAAAAATTAATACCGCGTCAAGTATACGTTTGGTACGTGATGGGAGGGGGCCGGGGGCCGGGGGGGGGGGTTCAGAATACGCTTACGATTTGCTCGATATTGGGATCTCGAAATTTCAACGTGACCGGATAACAGTACTGGGCTTTGAGACGGTCAATGCTTCTGGCGTCGATGGCACATAACAGGTATTCGTCCACTTCGCCATTGTGCACCTCTGGTTCTTCTTTACTAAACATCGTCACAATCGTCATAATATTAAAGTGGAAAATTAATATCTTTGAAAAAAAAAAAAATAATAATAATAATAACACATTTTCAGTTACGTTCAAATAAATCGAAAGAAATAGTATACAATAATAAAATATGTATATTTTTTTTTTTATGAACTATTTCTTTGATTGAAAATGTTCGAAGGAAAGAGCCATTCTCGTCCCCGTCTAGATGAGATTAAGGTATTAGGACTAAAAAAACCAAATTAACTCGACTACTATTACACTTTAAACGGTAAGGTGGATTTCACGAGACGGATGGATGTGATCTAAGTATTTTTCTCTGAGATATTTTTCTTTGAAACAAAGAAAATATAAAATCGTTTAGGTTTGTTAAAAGGTATAAAAGTATATATGAGGTTAAATATTTTATTTGATCTATAAACTTCACATAAATTAAAATTAAGTAAATATAGAATACACTCTTAATATTTACAAAGAAAATATAATAATTATTACTTATGCGACAAGATTGGCTTTTTTACACTAGCATAGATTATCCGGGCTAGTAGTTTTTTCTAAATTAAAAATTCAAAGATTACTTATAACAACTAGGGTTTATTTAAAATTATACAATCACTTACATTCATAAATTCAAATTATATTAAACTGAATAAACACTATTATGGTCGTGCAAAATTTAGATAAAATTAGAACACCTATCGTTTAAAGTTCCTCAGTATAAACTTAATAAATTCATAAGTAGGTATATTAAAGTAATTGCTTGTAGTCGTTTACCGTCGAGAAAATGCCGTTCTGTAGGTATTTGATAAAAGTTTTAGGTTTAATATGGATGAGGCAAGTTTTCAACGCAACATTTACATATTATATTGTACTAAATCGGATGTTTAAACATTGACAAAGATCGTGCCTAACAGCTAAATAGTTCATTAAACTTGATTACAAATTTCTATTAATTAATAAAACGTAACATCCTTTAACGTAACTTGCAAGTTGCAGGTAACGTTGATATACTTGTTGTACATTTATAACTAAGAATTATCAACGTTCACAGCCAATGGAAATGTATTTTTAAATCGGGAAATCATACTTAACTATTAAATAACTTATATTCGAATTGTATAATACCATGTAAACGTGGTGATGTGTCGTTGATTGTGACCCATAATTCTGAATTCTTTTGATATGTTACCGTTGTACGAAGGGCCAGGGCTCTGTTTTTTGTAATACTGCGACACCTAAAACAAAAAAATGTCAATACACTAATCAAGTTAAAACATTTCCTTTAATTAACTTAAAAGCGAGAACGCGATTACACGCTTCTTATTTATCCGTTAGTTTCGTTTAACTTTTGGCAGTTATGCCACGTATAAGCTCAAATAATAGGGATTATGTTTGTCGGAGCCAGCAAGCAAGCACTCGTGTGCTGTGTGTAAATCGTCCGCGGCGAAGCCCGCGAGTTTAAATAGAGCTTATGAATTATTAAAACATTATTACAATCGTATCTCGTATTTACATAAGTCGCATCCGGCGGCACGATCAGGTACGTCTCGATGTTGTGATCCTTAAGGAACGCGTTCCGCTCGCCGCCGTTGCCGGGTTCCACTTGGTACGCGTTGCCCAAGTACTTGAGCGTGTCCGAGGTGATGTGTATTCTCCTTTAAAAGTCAAAACCAACATTATGTCGCCGTTTTCCGGGTGCAGCGGTCGCATATTTTTTCGTCGATCGACTACAATATTAAACATTACCCAGGTATTCCGCCGCTTTCCATCTGGTTGGCCAGTGTCACGTCGTTGGACCACACGTCGAATTGCCACTTGCACAGTCCCAAAACTCCGCAGTGCACGCGACCCGAGTGTATTCCTACTCTCATGTTGACGTTAACGTCCATCACGTCCCTCACCAACCTGAGGCCCGACATTTAACACAATCCGATACAATGATAACAATAACAATTAAACACAATCTCGAAGATTGTGCCAACGTCGCCAACGGGGCACACTCACGTGATTGCGTCGATCATGTCAAGACCCATTTGCACGCAACAGTTGGCGTGGTCCGGTCTGGGTTCGGGCAGTCCGCTCACGCAGTAATAACAGTCTCCTAGAAGTTTGATGCGCAGGCAAGAGTTTTCCTGAGCCAGCCGGTCGAATCTGGAAATGCAAACGACCCGTGTGAAATATGCAAGTGTGCGTTGGTCGTCAATTAACTTTCGACAACCTCTTACCTGGCGAACAGTTCGTTCAGAAGTCTTACTAGTTCTTGAGCTGTACATTGGTCGGATAGGCTAGTGAATCCGCAGATGTCCGCAAACAGTATGCTAAAGCATAAAATATTTAAAACGATATTACTACGAAGAGGAAGAAGAAAAACAACGGCAATCTGTGTGGATAATTTTTTGTTTAATATCTGTACATAGAGCACGACAACGATAAATCTGAGATAATTAACCCTTCGTTAGTGTGTTGCCAGTTTTTCCCGTCCTTGGTGTGTTGTGGCTTAGTACAACATCCCATAAGTTAAACTAACAACATATCTTAAACAAACTTGAAAATAATGCTTAACATTCATACAACTTAATTTCATAATAGCTTGTAAGTATAGGATTAAGTTACTATTACGAAAAACAATTTAGTAAACGTTTTAATATAAAATATTATTTTTGGTATTTGAACTTATAAATTAGTTAATATAAAATTAAAAAAATAAAACCCTTTTCTTAAAACGTGTTGTTTTTCAAAATAAAATAATCACTTTTAGGTTTAACCATTCGTCAGTAGACAAATTAATTTTCAGTCATCTTCTTCACTTTTTAAGTCTTTGGTAACATACATATAAATTGGTACATGAATAATGTGTTGGGGTTTATCCGTTTATCGATATCACTCAGTTCAAAACACAATAACAGTAAAAAATGTGGTTTTTTATCAACCAAAACGGGTTTTAATCATAAAGTAACATAGAAAGAAGGATTTCATGGAAAAGAAAATTTGATCTAGTTTGATTACTATTAGTATCACACAAAATCTTATCACGTGAGGTTTAATAAACCCCAAAACACTAACGAAGGGTTAAAGAGAGACTAAAACATTTGGACTTAACATGCTGAACTTCGCCGCAAAGCTGAATAATTATTAGTATGAGCAAATCGTATTATGTTTGTCGCGAAAAAAAGGTGTCCCGAATGACGAATCATATTTTTAACGAATCGCTTCTGGCACTGACAGTATATGAGGAATAATAAACTACAAATGAGGATTTTTAGACCATTCATTTCAAAAAGCAAAGGATGAATAAAAGTGTTTATCATTATTGCATTTTTATTGTAAGCTTCTAATTAAATTAACATCGTGTTTACGTGGCCTACTTTTATAATGTAAGTTACGACGAACACGATATGATCATTAAAATAAAAAATAAACAATAGACGTAGAGCGGTTTTTTGTTCAAAAAATGCATACCTAACGTTCTCGTGTTTTTGTATATAAATTTTGTGGAACATGCTGTCGTGACGTTTACCAGCGATGTCGGCTTTCATTTCCATGGCGACATGTCTGGGCAAAACCGACAATAGCAGTCTTTCCTGAATCGCAAAAACAAAATGTATTTTAGCAAAACATACTTGTACATTAAAAGAAAACAAAAGTTTGTACCTGCTGCTGGTTAACCTTTTGCGTGGTCAGTCTTGCTTGAACACATTGTCTGGTCTCCAAGAACGCTTGTCTTTTGGCCACTTCGTTAGGGTAATGCATCATTACTCCAGTCACGTTTGTACACGCCACGAGCAACAAATTAATGAAACTCTGAAAGAATAACTGAGTTTTAGCAGGAAGGCGATGGTCATTTTTTTTCTGTGTCTGTAAATATTATAGTTAACTCGCATTCTAAATGTGAAACCGTACACGCCATTAGGGGACACTGTTATAATAAAAACCCTGAATTATTTTACATTCGAATTGCCCGCAGTGTGCTGTACTCGCGTTTAAAGAGAAGTGCCTTTTTACAAAATTGATATTACTATTTTTTTTTGCTCCTTGTCCGTTATATGTAATAAAATAAAATATAATATCAACCCAACGTTTGATTAGGTTTACAGTATTTTTTCATCGGGTAATAGTGAAAAAAACCATCTCGACCGTGTAAACAGTGTTTCAACCTCCTCCAACTGGTACCCACATAATTTTATCGTTGAAGTGTTGTGTATGTAATGTGGGTTTATGAATATTGTAGTAGAAGAGTATGTGTACATATTATATTCGGTAGTATGCGTAATATGTACTTGAAATCATACTAACTTATGTGAAAAGGATTCAGGCATTTCCATAGCACGTGTATATATACACACATGCGAACGGTAGTTGGCTAAAATGTAACAGTTGTAATCTTACACAGCGTGTACTGTGTAATACGAGTACCTGCGAGTTATTAACATAATTCCATGTTTTGGTTGAAATTAAGTCATGGGGGTGAACGAAGTTGTATGTGAAAAAAAAAAATAACTTCATCGTGTATATAGGTACTTATTATTATATGTACATACATGGCTGGATATGCCGGTTTCCGTTGATATGGTGAAAACCAACTGAGACATCATGAATATCGTGCCAGCAAAGATAGCGTACTGTAATTTGACTGGGAGCAGACTGTAAGATATGTAGACGAACACCAATGTAGGAACGGTGACGGCCTGAGATTTGGTGAGAACGCCGAATGACAGTTCTATCAACAAGAACGTGGCCAACACCACGTAGGACACGAAACTTAAGTACACCTCGTTCAATCCAGATCTCGACACGATGCCAATTATGACTGCAACAACCGGAGTAAACAAAATTACACGTTAAAACAAACGCCAAGACGGTCGACGATAGTTCTCGACGTGTGCTTACCTAGATAAATAACTATACAGCATAAAAGGAGTAAGGAACAATGAACCTGAGTCTCATAGTTAGATAGAAGCACGGCAAAAGCTATACACGTGAACAGCAAACACAGCAGCACCAGCAAATGGACCATGTGACTTTGATTGGTTCGCAGGAAATATCTTTGATAGAGCATTTCCACCTGCAAATCAACACATATTTGTTCTTAGAGGCACAGTTTATACTTATATACATTTGTATTTTAATAACTTTTTTTTAAAAATAAATCCATAACCCAAATTTAAAAGAGAACTAAAGATATGTAAATGATATAGAAAAAAAAAACAGTTTGCAAATTAAATATTGTCAAGCGGAAGAACTGTTTAGCGGTGTATAATTTTTTTTTGTACATAAAATATACCGAAAAGTTTGGTTTTAAGCTTTCGTCCGTTAATATAAATAAGCCGTGTTCAAAACGAAAGTCAAAAGAATAAGAGCGTATTTTATGCAAAATAGAATAAAAGTTTTTGCGAGTTATATTCATTTTATCGCATAACGGAATGATTAAATCCCCAATTAAATTACAAAAATAATTCTGACCTGTAAGTTTTTAAACTGATGTGATGAAGTCAGCAGCGTTGTGATTTTCTGACAGCAGTTGAGTTTGGAAAAGTCACGAAGAATATCTCCATTCTCATCTGACAGTCCAGGCACGAACTTGGAGTTCGGTGACAGTGAAACCCTTTCACATGCTTCTTGCTGTTGGTCGACTTCGGAATAATTAACTGTACCACTTGCACCGCGACTCTAATTAGTGTAATACAATTAATTGATTGTTACAAAGTTGTTAATTATCCTTTTTTTTCCCAGAAGAATTATGTACTTTTGGTATATATTATTGTATATTATTGTTTATCTAATTAATAATAAATACCTAATGAACAACACATATAAACCTATAGACTACGGTTATAGCTTATATTAAGTTAAAGTGGGGGGATAATTATTTACTCCTATGCAGTATCAAATTACAAAAATCACTTACTTATATTTATTTAAATTTTGCATTAAAGATGTAACATTTCAATTACGCCGTAACGTTATTTATATTATATTATTTTCTACCTTTTTAAATAATATACTTGAGATGTAATTTGAATATATTATTATAGTCCATGGTTTGTACGTACCAATTCTAAGAATCCTTGTTATCGTAAAGTCCGCAAAAAACTGTTTAAGTAAAAACTGTAATAAATTTCAATTCAAACCCATTTTTTTGAAAGAGTTTTGTTTTTTCACTATTAATATCTAGTTTTTTTTGCCAAGACTATAATTCAATTAAATAAAATAGCGTAATAAACGTTAAACCTGAAAAACTTGCATTACCTACTCAGTCAGTTAAGAGTATTTTTTTATATTATAACTAATAAGAATAATATATATTCTGCAAAAAAATGTTCTTAAAAATAATTTATTAAGATTTTTTTTTTTTTTTAATAAGTAATAATATTATACATACAAAACAACATGATATACTCGACAACTTTCATTTTTGGATAACATTCACTTATCTAAAGAAAATACAAAAACACTGTTCATTTTACGGCTATTTTCGTGAATGCACATAAATTATACTAGAATTAATTATTATAAAATATCAAAAGTTTAAGTATTTATACCAGTTAGAAAAAAATACTTTGAAGTTAATGAAAAATAATTGGGCTTGGAGTCTCGTATAATTTACAAGTATCAAGATTAGGTGCGATGGAATAGGATTCATTTTCAAGAAACACGTTTTAAACACAAAACTTTGAACATAATATATCAACGAGGTAGAATGTATAATGCAAGCTCTTATAGAAGCCGGATCGGTTTAGTTATATCAACATTCTCCATCAAAAGTGTGATTGAAACCAACAATCAATGTTTACTGCTCACAAGTAGATTATGAAGTACTTATCTATTGTGCAATACACAAATTAATCTAGGACAATATTACCAACTCAAAACTGCTATTAAAATATGAATAAATAATATTTTTACCTAACAGTCAAATAAAATAATAACCTGGAAACTACCTATAATTTTAAATAATCCACAACAAGATACAATATTATTAATATGGCTGTATAACATACTATTTTACTTTGATAGCAAGTATATTTATTTTCACTTTTATCATGCGTAATTATTGTGCTAATGATGGTTAAACAAATTATTTGGGATAATATTTTCTTATATCTATTACTCGTATTGTTAAACTGTTAAAATTATAAAATCTGTTTTGTTTTAACGTAATAATATTATTGAATAGTTAGTAGTGTATAATATATAGAAAAATAATATTACCTTTTAAGTATCATGAGGCTATCACCAAAAAAAAGAAATTCCAACGTGTACTGCACCGGCAACGAAACAAAACTAACAACAAAGCACACGTTCGCCGTATGATATATGGGATCACTACTTTTTCAGGCTGTCAAACGCATAACATAAAAATTACCTCCTACCGCACTATAATCAACAACATGGCTTGATCGTCAGACTTAGTATAGCTCAATCTATCGTCATTCAAAATAATTAAAGAGTATGACTTGATAACGTGTAATTAGAAAAACATTTTTTTTTTTAAATTTTAAAACGTTTTCAACATGCTGAATAATTTTAAAATGCTAAACAAAGTTGTTCATGACTTTTAAGTGTTTTTTCAGTTAAGTAGATGGCTGAGTGTCTTTTAAAGTAAAATATCTTCTTTCTCTCTCTCTCTCTCTCTCTCCGCCGCACGTTATATAATAAATACAAAAAAAACTATCCTAAAAAGAGTTTTCGCTAAGCATTTGCATAAGAGAAAAAGAATATTAAGCTGCATAGCGGTTGCTTAATGTTAACCGTTCAATTGTATGTAACTACATTTAATACAGTCGTTAGCAAGTTCTACACGCAATTAAAACTTAGACATATTTGTTTTAATGAATCCTCCTGGCAGTTACCAGCCCCTTAAAATAAAATTTATTCAAAATCCTTCCTTATTGCACGCCTAGACTATAATACAAACATACCCTGAAAATGTCAAGTCGCTAGCTATAGTTTAGGCTGTGCGTTGATTATGAACCAGTCAGTACTTCTTCTTTTACAATGCGTTTAATTATAACTGCACAATATCTACACTGGACTATCGAATTTTAAGGTCAGCGCTGGCTAAATAATAATAAATAAAGAATACAGTATACACCACTCGAACCGTGTACGCGTACGTTTAATGTGTATGTATTAATTTGCTTAACTAAATTCGATTTAAAAGTAACAGCCTACTAAAAAATTGGCCTACATACACAATTGCCCTACTTAAGCTATTCTTTATTTCATAAACCCCTATTGTATAACGATTTTACACGTTAAACTATTTTGAGTTACTGCGGTTTTGAATTTAATATATGCGTCATTTTATGTGCACAGAAAAAATATATATATATATATATATATAAATAAAAATACCAGCAAGGGCGTGGGTGAATCGGATGCCGTCGAAAAATGCTGGTAAACTGCCCAATTGGTACGCCTTTGGGTCTGCGGCGACGATTCCATTTCAGTGCCCGACTCTTCTGTTGGCTTTCGGTGCTGGCGAAGACTTGTCCATTTTTTTGGTGTTTTCTGTGTAAAAAATAAAATATGGGCTGTTGAAATAATTATAAGCCTCGTGTCTCGATTGAAAATTAAATTTACATATAGGGTGTACCGGTTTAGAATCATAATAATATATGATTGGAAATTAGAGGCATAGTAAAAATACCTAGTTATCTGATTTTCAATACCGAAAAATTTTACTTCGTACAACAAAAACAATAACTTAAAAAAATAACATTTAGTTAAAATGTACTTAAGCGTCTACTTAAGCGTCGTGGCAAAATTCTACCCATAAAATTAGGGTCATATTATTTTTAGTATTTTTTTTTCTTCCTAAACTAAAGCAGTTGTGTAAGACATCGAACAAGCTCTGCTTATTTGGGAGAAGTGAGGATTTTAAGATTAAAATAAGTAAAAAAATGTATACACCAAATGTATCCATGAGTATAGATGCACTTAAGTGTGTTTATACAAAAGGAAAATATAGGAAACTTGGTTGTGCGTTTAGAAGTTTAGTAGTAATGAAATTATGCTTACAACAAAAAACGGTGTTCAGTATACTCATTACTCTGAATTTATTACTAGTAAACATTATAAAAATATGAAATAGATAAATTTTTCTATGTGAAACATTAAACAATTAAGTAGGTGTACAGTATGATTATTATAAAAAATAAAAAATTGAACACTTTTTAAAAAAAAATTTTAATCGTCCACTTTCTTCAAAGGTCAAAATCCGAAAATTTTCGTTACAGAATCATTTTATTTTTAATTCTCCCAATAAACCCATTAGCTCAATTCCAGAAAATTGGAGTGAGAAACTAGAGATGTGAGAAATTACACGGGAAATGTGATAATCCTGAATGTTAGTTAGGAATTGAAAAATTGAATTTTAATTAAAACGAATCTTAACGAAGATAACGCCTTAATAACAAAGGTAAAACATCAATTTATAGTAATTTCCTCAAATCCCCGGATTGTCCTAAGATCTATAGCTGGTCCAATTAAAGCCGCTCCTGACATAATGATAGCCGGGGCGAGGAAATAGCTGTAAATGTATTATTGAAGTATACATATAATTCATTCTGATTGACACATTTTGTCGACCTAAATACACAAATGTTGAGACTTGTAACACTTTTGGTAAAATGGCCCATGTATGGTGCAATGTATCATTGATATTTGATACATACAAACGGGGTTATCAGTCTCCAAGTTTGCATTAATCATTCTCTAGATAGTTTAATACGATTATGATAAACTTATTCGGCTTTGTTGGTTCGGACAAACAATATTATTATATAATTTTCATTACTTTATAATCTAGGTGGGATTAGAGACAAAACAATCCGTTCAATAATGACCCGGGCCTTTCATTTAATTAAATATAAAATTGCGCATGACAGAATTGTGGTGCACGCAAATATTATTATAGCACGGTTTTATGCGATATTGTTTAATTGAGTTATTAAACAATATCATACAATAGTTTTTGACCATATTCGATTAAACATTTACTACCTATTTACCTACTATTTACTACCCATCGTGGTCGTGATCTATTTTTTTTTAACGGTAATAAACATAATTAAGGAAACGGTTATACGATTGCTGTTGAGATCCTCTTAATATAATTAGTCTGGACATTTTAAATGTTACATACAAGTAATAGAAAACGGATTTACAATATTCTACAATTTGATACTTTTTTCAATTATATATAATATACCTATATTATAATATCTTGTGTTGATCGGGCTTACGACGTAAGTACAGTTGAATAAGATGAAAAAACGTAACTCTCGACTTAAGGTTTCTAAATCCTAGCTCAATTTTGCGTACCTAAAGCATTAGTGTTCTTCATATTAAATTATGTTGCCACAAGACCAATGTTTATTAAGTATACTGTAAAATAGACAGGTATTCGTGTACTATGCACGCGTGTACTTGTTTTGCATACACTTTACGCCTTGAAGCAAAACAGCTATTCATTAAAAATTTAATAGACTTTGTATTCGGTTAAACCCTATCTGAAAGGGCTCAAGAGTTTAATGTATTTATTTCTTAGGCTAAACTTTTGAAATATGAAAATGTAAATAAATTAACGTGTTTTAACATTTCATGCATTAATAGTAGTTTTTAAAACTAGCCTTAGAAGTTTTATTTTCAGTGAGCAGTCATTGATCGATGCCTGTGAACTAAAATATAGTTTTAGCATTAAGTATTTCAGAAATGACGATAGTAATATATTGTACATATCACTTTATTTTGAAAAGACTTTCCTCTATAAGAGGAAATAATATCACAATTTTTTATTTCACAGTTTAAAACACGCGCTACCGTGCTTAAAATTTTTTGAAACATTTTCATTTGTTGTTTTTGGTACTCCAGAAATTTCAAAATTTTTTACTAAAGAAGCTTGCTCAGCATTATTTATAGCGGCTTTGAGAAAGGTGTTAACAATTTTCTCTTGAGACATATTTTCCCCCAAAATTGTCCTTATTATAAATTCATAAAAATAATATTTTTAAGCAGTTGTCATATTTTCACATCACCGCGTCGTGTTATACAATAAAGCAAAACAACTTATTTTTGGATTCGTTGTACATTTAGAAGCGACACAAAGCTTTTTTTGTAAAGTGTATACATATCGTGTACAAAAGTGTTTCTTCTTATCATTGTCATGCCGACGCTTTAAGTCTTATAAAAAAATACATTCAATCGCTTTATTGAATATGTATCTTTAAAAATTTCAATAAATGCGTCGCTATGTTGTAAGAAGTAAACATTGGATTTTAATTCGATAAAAAAAATTGAGTTATTTAATTCTACTTTATATTACCACACCGTCATAATTTAATTTTAACAACTTAAAATAATAATTTCAATACGCTTAGTATTTAAAAATACACATTGTCAATTCAAGGCGGCCGGTATTGATTTCTTGATGAGCTCCATCCGTGGAAATAAGATCCCACTCTTAAAATAGTCTGACTATTTTGTTTACATTTTTTTTTAGAATTGTTATATTTTACAGTGTGTTACTATTGTCTATTTTTAAAAGAACAGCTTTCCACAATATTATATTTTAAAATACCTGTAATGAATATTACCTATAAATGTAATGATTTTTAATTTAGAATTAGTTTACGTTAAAGTTATTCTACGTGTAAAATAAACAATATACTACCAAACGAACAACTTCAATCAATTTACAAATAAAGACTTAAAATAATTAGTTCTAAGATTGTGTACAATTTAAAGTTTTATAATATTATTATTGCCTTTCAACATATTCGCAAAAATTGCATTTCTTATATGTTAAATTCGTGTTTTTTAATACCATTTGATTAGGTTGTTTTACAATTGTATTAAAAATAGTAATACGGACATTATAATTCAAATAAACATCTAAATTTATGTTGTATTCGTTTGTTTCAATGGTACAATGCAATATATTCCAACCGTTGAATCCTACAAATCTAATTTTTATACACTTACTTTGGCTACAAAATACCCTTCAGATCACAGGGATAAAAATCAAATTATTTTACTCCTTTTAGGACATTTTGCTTGTACTTTAAAGATTAACGAATGGCAAAATTTAATTGTTTCATTATTGATCATTATCCATTTATAGGAACAGAATAATAATAATGAATATTGTATTTTAAAACTTGATACAGCAAAAACTAAAACAGCTATGTTGAGAATTTTACTTAATTTTTTATATTTTATATTAAGCCTGACTCTTATCTTGGTAAATATATTTATAATAAATTCAGTGAAAATAGTAAATGTAATTTATTTTAGCACAATCAAATTATAATCTTCGAATTCGCTATTATAATTTTCTTTAGTGCCAACAAATACTTATTTTGAAATATTGAACGCAGTCATAAACATACATACGAAGGACGTGTTCGCCTAAGGCTTTAGTAATTGTACTTATTTTATACAATTGCGTTGAAAGTTATTAATTTTGATACGATTCCAGAGAGGGTGTTTTTTACTTAAAACTACAATTCAGATTAACGTTGCCAAATACATTTTTTTATGTAGTCGTTTTGGCTTCGAAAATTGTTGTAGAGAGAAGTTTGTAAAAATAATTGGAAACAATGTAATCGTGTTATTATTTATATTGTTTTATGAAAAAAAAACAATTGAAACTATAGGAAACCTTTAAAACATATTTTTTTAATGTAAATATATTTTATTATTTTTCTGATTGTATTTACCATAAACAATAAAAAAAAATCATATTTATAAAAATTCTACTGAAGATGTTAGCAAATAATAGTATTTTATGTTTAAAAAATAGAAAATTGTTTGGGCATGTATTTATAAGATATTATGAATATCATTTCGTGGGAAAAAAGGCTAAGTCAACATTTTGTGCAAAATTATATACACTGAAAAATTCAGAAAAAAACACTGCATCATTTGGGCTTTATAGTTCAAGTCAAAGTGTATTCATTGAATAATATAGAAATGTTTATTGAGTTTAGTCACTATTTTTCTCATTTTAGTGTATTTTGTGATACGTTGACTTAAATCTTTTTGAATATACAATTTAATAGTCTGACAAGAGTTTTGCCATTTGTATACTGCTTTAAATCGTTTTGAACCATTATTTTAGTGATAAAATGTCTATTAAATACGTTTTTATTTTGATAAATTTCCCAATTTTCTATAATATTTTTATTAATGTTTAAAAATATTTAAAAATATTAAATTTAATAAAATATTATTATTATTAAAATTACAACCTTTTTATTTAAAAACAAAAAGATTAAATTCAACTCAATAAGATTTAAATCGTTTTTTATTAACTTATAAGAGCTATTTTGTTATTTATTTTTGTGAGTTGAAATTTATACAGGAAATTATAAAATAAGTTTATTACCCTCTATTCAAAAAAATAACTATCCTATCCAAATGCACAATCTAACATGTTCTTCTAAAACTTAACCCCCTTGTTCACGCGCCCCCACGATTTACTGATAACATAATATATATGTATTATG